AAAGTACAGGACAAAATGGGGTACTTAAGCTCAGTGAATGAGTCTCCAATCTATTAAAGCTTAAACAATTAAAAGACTAATTATGTGGTAACTTTAGTTACAGGAGTACAGTTATGTTCACTGTATTCTGTCTTCAGCTGTTAATCTATATTTTTTTTCATTTCCAAGACTGTTGCATTAACTTCCTTTTGTAACCTATTCCACTGTACTACCACACTGTGCATCTTGTTTTTCATACTTAGTTTGCTTTTCTATATTGTTAAAATATTCATTATGGCAAGTCAATAAAGCCAACTTGCGTCATGTTAGTATCATGTTAGTTCATGTTAGTATAATCCGGCTAATATCATGTCAGTTTCTTTTCAGTTATTATTTATAAAAATATTAGCTATATTTCCTTTAAATGGTACACAGTCTAGAACATAATATCATAAAGATTGTCTTTAATATCTCAAGCAGAGAGCAAAACAAAATTTTGGGACAAGAACTACTCTGTACATTTATGTACAATGTAACATCAAAGCTTTAATTTTAATTATGGACTGCTGTGCCAAAAATTAATAAGTTTCATCTTGCAAAATATAATATCCATAAATCATAAAGCTCTATCAAATTTTCCCATTAGGCTACTGTTATTAACACTAAAACAGATGTTATCATTCCCCTGTTATTAACACTAAAACAGATGTTATCATTCCCCTGTTATCAACACTAAAACAGATGTTATCATTCCCCTTATATCAGGAATATCCACAACAAAATCATACATGATTGTCAAGAGAAGAGGATAATTATCTCAGGTTTCCTGACTCCTGGCAAAAAGTTTTTAACATATGATAGATTAGAATTACTTTGAACTAAACATATGGGAGAAGGAGTTACTAACCCTTTGCTCTGTAATTTTAGTTGCTTCTTATAACACGCATGGCTTACGGAAGGATTCTTCTTCACTTCCCCATAGAGAAGCATGTACTTATCCCACATAAATATAAATATAAACTATCATTCAACTGGCCACTGGATATTAATCAAAGATCATTTTAAATTTTTAAATACTACATTAATAATTGTTCGTTCCAACATGGTGTAAAGATAACTTCATTACATACTGATTGTGAACTATATATTTTTTTTTTTTTTTAACAAGTCGGTCGTCTCCCACTGAGGCAGGGTGACCCAAAAAAGAAAGAAAATCCCCAAAAAGAAAATACTTTCATCATCATTCAACATTTTCACCACACTCACACATTATCACTGCTTTTGCAGAGGTGCTCAGAATACAACAGTTTAGAAGCATATACGTATAAAGATACACAACATATCCCTCCAAACTGCCAATATCCCAAACCCCTCCTTTAAAGTGCAGGCATTGTACTTCCCATTTCCAGGACTCAAGTCCGACTATATGAAAATAACCGGTTTCCCTGAATCCCTTCACTAAATATTACCCTGCTCACACTCCAACAGATCGTCAGGTCCCAAGTACCATTCGTCTCCATTCACTCCTATCTAACACGCTCATGCACGCTTGCTGGAAGTCCAAGCCCTCGCCCACAAAACCTCCTTTACCCCCTCTTTCCAACCCTTTCGAGGACGACCCCTACCCCTCTTTCCTTCCCCTATAGATTTATATGCTTTCCATGTCATTCTACTTTGATCCATTCTCTCTAAATGACCAAACCACCTCAACAACCCCTCTTCTGCCCTCTGACTAATGCTTTTATTAACTCACACCTTCTCCTAATTTCCACACTCCGAATTTTCTGCATAATATTTACACCACACATTGCCCTTAGACAGGACATCTCCACTGCCTCCAACCGTCTCCTCGCTGCTGCATTTACCACCCAAGCTTCACATCCATATAAGAGTGTTGGTACTACCATACTTTCATACATTCCCTTCTTTGCCTCCATAGATAACGTTTTTTGACTCCACATATACCTCAACGCACCACTCACCTTTTTTCCCTCATCAATTCTATGATTAACCTCATCCTTCATAAATCCATCCGCCGACACGTCAACTCCCAAGTATCTGAAAACATTCACTTCTTCCATACTCCCCCAATTTGATATCCAATTTTTCTTTATCTAAATCATTTGATACCCTCATCACCTTACTCTTTTCTATGTTCACTTTCAACTTTCTACCTTTACACACATTCTCAAACTCATCCACTAACATTTGCAATTTTTCTTTAGAATCTCCCATATAGCATTATAATCTGCAAGTCAAAATTACAGTCTCAAAAGCAGAGACTTGGCATATTTTTCCAGGCAGGTCTTGATTAGCTAGACTGTGGTGCTTATGTTGGACTGTGTACTTCTAGAATCAAACTCAGAGGTAGCACCAGAATTTCTATGCCAGGGCTTAAGGATGGTTATCTGGTTGTAAGGGGGATGGGGCTAAGAGACTTGTTTTGAAGTAGTGTTATTATTAATATTTTATTGGAGGTGAGGGGACTGAGGGAATTTTTGAGGACTGAATGCCCCCCAAGCCCTTGTTGGTGCCACCACTGACTAAGAGCCTGACTGGTCAGGCTATCAGCCAGGACAGGTCTGGAATTGAGCCTAAGCAGGGCAATAACCCTTGAAACCCTCAACAGCTGGGCAGGCTTAAAGTTTAGTTACAACACATAACAGTATAAGAGTATAATGTAGAAGAGAAAACCCCCTTTATGCTAGATCCAGGTGATAAAATATTAAGTAGCAGGAACTTGGTACACACTCCAGCAAATACATGACCTGCCTCTCCCTCTGCTAAATATTAAATATCAACATTTATATATGCAGTGTTAGCTGCAGTTAATTTTAATAAGCAGTGCAACAAAATATTAAGATGCTCAATAATAACCCATGAAGACAGAAACACAGGAGGTTGATTGATCTGCATATTTCGACCTGCTTCTGGGATCCTCTTCAGGAGATGCTGATTCTAGCAAGTAATTTTTAATTTTGTTAACTTAATTATGTACATATATTTTTCTAAGTGTTTTTGTTTTCAATACTCAACACTATAATGGTAGATGTTCTTCAGTTTGCTTTAGTGCTAGAAACAGGCAGAGAAACAACACACTAAACCCACAAATTCATTATTCACTCTTAAATTTGTTCCAATAAATATTCTGCCATATTTCTAATGATTGTTTTCTCCCAACAAGTGCAAGGAATATTATAGTACAATGTTTCAAGATGATATTTCTCGAAGCATGACGATAGGCACAGAGCCATATCACACAACTAAAGAATAATTTTTTTTTCATATACCAGTTGTATCCCACCCAGGCAATGATTTGAAAAAGAAGTAAAGAGTTTTTCTCCTTTTTGCATTTAGTAATTTATACAGAAGAAGGGCGTTACTAGCCCCTTTCTCCCGTTAGAGTAACATTGTCTATGTGAATTTTGTCACACACAGCCTGGTCCTTTGGCATACTGCATATGCTATATATAATTTAAACATTCCATCACTGAAATAATGGAGGGTTTGAATGTGCTTCTAATATGTTATAGGTTTCTAAGACCTTTCTTACTTTTATGACTTTTTCCATAGCTTTCTTAGTTTAGTTTATGAATTTTTGATAGTCCAGTCATTATTCCTACTAATGAGCAACTGGATTATAATTAATTATAATAAAAAAGAAGCGCTAAACCGCAAGGGTTATACAGCGCAGCAGGGCAGGGAAGGATGCAGGGGAAATGGGTTGCAAGAGGAAGAGGGATGATTATTAGGGTATGGAGTGCAGTGGGGCAGTGGATAGTGCAGGGATAGAGAGTAGGTAGAGAGGAAGTTAGAAAGGACAGAGGAGAGTGCTAGAGGCATCATCGTCAGAGCTTATGTAGTAAATCGATCGCTGTCAAAAAGTCAATGAGAGAGTCAGGATTAAAGGAGGGTCCATCAGCAAGAAGGGAAGGTAAAGAAAGGGCAGCGGAGTGGAGACAACGTTGTATGCCCATTGACAGAGTGGACAGTCCAACAGAATGTGGCTAACAGATACTGGAAATTGACAATTCTCACAGAGGAACAGGGCACCTCTCCATGAGATACCCGTGAGTAAGACGAGTGTGGCCAATGTGAAGACGGGAGAGAGTAGTCTCCCAACCTCGACATTGATGACAAGAAGACGGCTAGAAAACCTATACTCGGTTTAATAGAATGAAGTTTTTTATCGAGCAGATCAGACCAACGTTGTTACCAATGGGTGCGAAGGTGGGTAGCAATTTCAGCGAAATAGTCTGTGAATGGAACACCTCTATATGAAACTGGAAAGTCATGTACTGCTGACCACGCAGCAGTGTCTGCCTGTTCATTGCCCTGTACGTCAACATGACCAGGGACCCAACAAAAAACAGCATCTTTGTGAGCAATTGGAATCCACCCTCTCTTAAGTCTAGAACTACAATACGGGGAAGTTGAATGGATAAAGTAGTTTCCCTAAATGGATCTGATTGCACTTTCTACTCATTTTTGCAACAATGAAAGCTCCTGATGTGTTGAATGCAACACGAAAGGCCTAGAGCTATCATTCAAATCCTCCTGTGGTTGTTTTGTATCGCTTAAAATACTGACCCAAAAATAAGCCTAGGGAATTTCTCATAGAATAAGCTATTTTAATTCAAACAACTTCTCATGTCAGGCAAGAGTGATTTTTAATTTTATATTGTTTTTCACTAAATGCATTTCTATCTTGTATGAAGCATTTGGTGTGTGTGGTATACTTTTTTTTATGGTAAAATTAGGTTTCTTAGACTTATTTTTTCCAATTTTGCATGTGTTACATCTTCTTTACATCTTTTCTGCTCCTGCTGCCTCCTCTGTACTCGACCAAAGAAGCCTACTGTGTAGACAAAACATTTCAGAATATAGTTACCTAACTGTTGCACATGGGTCTTACTTATCTGTGTTAACTGTATTGTACAAGGGTTATCACTGAATTTTGAATTTAATAAAAATGTTTTCCCAACTGCATTTTATGCACATAATAGTTTGGTGTAGTGTAGTATACTTTTTTTTTTTTTTTGACAAAATAAATCAAGAAATGTGAATTTTTTTTTGCTACTGCAATCCTCTTCTCTTGACTTTTGAAACTACTCTGTGGACATTGTACCCAGCCTCTCCTTAAGGCCAAACTCTTCTAAGCATACTATTTCTAATTGCAATGTTAACGAAAAAGAATAATTAAAAAATGATTATTATTGTCCCAGAATGTATCACTGGATATAAATGGGTGTGTATGGGAAAATGTGGTTTAGTCAATGTAAAATTTGCTACACGATTTCTCCAGTTTGCATCTTGGTTATTAAGTTGAGGTGCACTGTACAAATAATATTTAAGCATTAAATAATTAATAAATAGTGCTTTATACATTACTGGTAATGACCATAATAGTATACAAGTTTTGCCTATCTCAGATAAATATTAGAATACTAACAAGGAACTTTGTTTACAAGAACATGTCTTCATTCTATTTCAAAAAGTCATTCATATCTCCAATTTAACTTTTTTTTCCCCTAAAGAAAAAGATACAAACAGTAGAAAAATACTTACAAAACTAATCCATTAACTCGGATTTTTCTGAAATTCTCTTATCTTCATCACCTTCAGATAAAAATTCATCATTTGTGAAATCAGTAACATCGGTGTCCTTTGGTATAACTGTATCACTTGTACAATGTGAGGATAAATTATCCTCATCGCTATCACAGTCTAGACTAGATATATCTGCATCACAAGAGGGTGATGGTGAGGTTTCTCTGTCTATCACCATCAGTGAAAGAAACTCATTTGAATTTGCTGCTGGTAAGCGAGTTTCTACAGTGCTCTGAGAGTTGCTTCCACCTTCAATACTTCCATAACGGTGATCTGCAGTGAGACTTCGCTGAACGGATACACTTCTCTGGTGCATTGCTCGCCCAGCTGAGAGATCTTGAAGTTTCTTGTAAAATTTCCCTTTTTCATCATTATAGCAAAACATATATTCAAGGGAATTGAATACTGCCATAAACATAAAAAAGAAACCAGTAATAACAAGCACCTGAAAATTAAACAAATATTAGAATACCTTAGGTTTTTAAAGTAGGCAAATTTTTAAATACAGTTCCTGCATATCAATGTATATTATTTGATAATCATCTAAAATAAATTTGTACAGCCTCTCCTCACTTAACGACGGAGTTCCATTCCCAAGACCACATCAGTAAATGAATTTGTTGCTAAGCAAGGAGCACACTATAATGGTAGTGGGTTTGTATCCATCATATTTTATATTGTTTTAATATCACCTTTGCACCATTTATAACATTTTCAGTATATTTTTAAATGTTTATACAGTAGTGTACTGCATATTGTAATAAACAGAATAGAGTAAATCAGCTCTAATATACATTATTTATGTATGCATACTGGTCAGAGAGCCCATTGTAAGTTCGAGTCATCAGTAAACGAGTATGTCAATAAGCAAGGAGAGGCTGTATTTCATTTATCTCCACATTCAGCAATGTTTAATTTGGATTAAACCCACCAATAAAAAGTTTGTTGCTTTATCTACTCTTTCAACTTCCAAAAATTTATATACTGCAAGAAAGGTGGGAGGGACGGAGTTAAGGTGGTTTTGTGTGTGAGGGGCTTAGACATCCAGCGAGAGAGTGAGAGAGCGAGAGAGCGGGGGCGAGAGCGAGAGCGGGGGGAGCGAGGAGAAAAGAGAGAGGGGAAGAGGATAAGGGGAGAGAGAGAGGGGAGAGAGAGAGAGAGAGAGAGAGAGAGAGAGAGAGCGAGAGAGAGCGAGAGAGAGCGTCTGCGTGTGTGTGTGTGTGTGTGTGTGTGTGTGTGTACTCACCTAATTGTAATCACCTAATTGTGGTTGCAGGGGTCGAGACTCAGCTCCTGGCCCCGCCTCTTCACTGATCGCTACTAGGTCCTCTCTCTCTCTGCTTCCTGAGCTGTATCATACCCCTTCTTAAAACTAGTATGGTTCCTGCCTCCCCCTACTTCACTTGCTAGGCTATTCCACTTCCTGACAACTCTATGACTGAAGAAATACTTCCTAACGTCCCTGTGACTCGTCTGAGTCTTCAGCTTTCAGTTGTGACCCCTTGTCGTGTGTCCCCTCTCTGGAACATCCTATCTCTGTCCACCTTGTCTATTCCCACAGTATCTTGTATGTCGTTATCATGTCTCCCCTGACCCTTCTGTCCTCCAGTGTCGTCAGTCGATTTCCCTCAACCTTTTTCCTCGTACGACATTCCCCTGAGCTCTGGACTACCTTGTTGCAAACCCTTTTTACTTTCTCTAACTTCTTGATGTGCTTGACCAGGTGTGGGTTCCAGACTGGTGCTGCATACTCCAGTATGGGCCTAACATACAGAGTGTACAGGTCTTTAAAAGATTCCTTAAATTTAAAGGTATCGGAACGCTATTCTCAGGTTTGCCAGGTGCCCGTATGCTGCAGCAGTTATTTGGTTGATGTGTGCCTCCGGTGATGTGCTCGGTGTTATGGTCACCCCCAAGGTTCCCTTTCTCCCTGAGTGAGGGCTGTAGTCTTTGTCCACCTAGCCTATACTCTGTCTGCCGGTCTTCTCTGCCCCTCCCCAAAATTCAAGACTTTGCATTTGGCTGGATTTTAATTCGAGAAAGCCAGTTACTGGACCACATGTCCAGCCTGTCCAGGTCTCTTTGCAGTCCTGCCGATCCCATCCGATTTAATTCTTCTCATCAACTTCCGTCATCTGCGAACAGGGACACTTTAGAGTCATTCCTTCCATCATGTCGTTCACATATATCAGAAATAGCACTGGTCCTAGAACTACCCCGTGGGACCCTGCTCGTCACAGGCACCCACTGTGATAAACCCCTTCACGTACCATGACTCGTTGCTGCCTCCCTGTCAGGTATTCCCTGATCCATTGCAGTGCCCTCCCTGTTTTCATGCGCCTGATCCCCAGCTTCTGCACTAATTCTTGTGTGGAACTGTTTCAAAGGCCTTCCTGCAGTTAGGAAAATGCAATCTACCCAACCCCCCTCTCTCATGTCTTACTTCTGTTACCTTGTCATAAAACTCCAAGAGGTTTGTGATACATGATTTGCCTTCCATGAACCCATGCTGGTTTTCATTTATAATCTTGTTCCTTTCCGGTGTTTGACCACTCCCTCCTGATAATCTTCTCCATGACTTTGCACCAATCCATGTCAGAGACACCCGGGCCGTAGTTTAGCAAACCCCGTTTTTGTTTCCTTTCTTTAAAAATGAGGAATACATTAGCTGCCTTTCCCTTTCTCAGGTATTGCCCCCTTTTCAAGGGGTGTGTTTAAGGGTTGTTTGGGTTAAAAGGCAGCACAGCACCTGCTCCTTTTCTAAGGACCCCCTGGGGGATGTTGTCCGTCCCCTGCCTTTTAAAGGGGTTTAAGGTCCCCTTAGGGGCTTCTTCACCTCCTCCTTTGGTTGTTTGGGTTTTTAAACCAACACTTGGGTTTTAAAAATTCCCTCTTGATTTTTCCCTTCTGTGCTGTCCCCTTTCCCCCTAGCCCTTCCGTCTCTACTGTAAAAACTTTTCCCTTTAAAACTCCCGTTCAGCTCCTCCATACCTCCTGATCATTTTCTTTTGGGTTTTTTCCACCTTCTGTCCCCTTTAAACTGATCACCTGGTCCCTTTTACGTTTTTTTTCCCCGGGTGTTTCTATACAAAAATTTTTTTGGGTCAGTCTTGATTCTCGATGCAAAGGGCATTTTCATATGTCCCCTGGGCCCCCCTCCTTAACCCGTGCATACTCAAACCCGGCTTTTTGCAAATGATCTCCCCATTTTCCCTGTGGGTTTTTTCTGCCTTCTGTACTTTTTTTATTCTCTTTGCACTTTTTTTTTGCCCCCTTTCCCGTCGGGTAAACCCGGGGCTCATTCTGGTCCTTTTCCCCTTTTTTAATTTCCCTTTTTTTGGGGAATAAACCTTTCCACTGCCTTTCCCTTTCATTTTTTTGTTACATATTCCATCATTTTTTATTTACTGGTTTTTTCCCGCCAGTTTTTTCTGTCCCCCCTGACTCCCCGCAAATTCTTTCAACCCATGTAGTCCCCCTTTTTTATCCCGCTTTTTTTCCCCTTCAACCCTTTTATTCTCTCCCTTTTCAGCTCTACAAGTATTCCCCCGCACAGAAACCCCGTGGGCCTAAACTCCTAGGGGGCTCTCAAAACTTTTATGTCCTCAAAGTCGAAACTGCCCCCGGGTGAAAAACAAGGGCCAATCTTGCTGGTTCATCCTCCCCTCTCACTCTGGTAGTGTCCTTAACATGTTGGTGCATGAGGTTTTCCAGCACCACGTCCAACATCCTGGCTCTCCATGTTTCGGAACCCCCATGTGGCTCCAGGTTTTCCCAGTCAATCTCCCTGTGGTTGAAATCCCCCATAACCAGCAACTTTGCTCTGCTGGAGTGAGCTCTTCTTGCCACTTCAGCAAGTGTGTCCACCATTGCTCTGTTGCTCTCTTCATATTCCTCTCTTGGCCTCCTGCAGTTCTGTGGTGGATTATACATCACTGCAATGACTACTTTGTGTTCCCCAGACTGAAGTGTACCTACTATGTAGTCTCTTTCTCCAGTCTAATCTATGCCTTCCATTTTCTCGAATTTCCATCTGTTTTTTACGAGCAGAGCAACCCCACCACCCCCTCTGCCCCTTCTATCTTTCCTCATGATCTGGTATCCTGGTGGGAAGATTGCATCTGTTATTGTCTCCGTGAGTTTTGTTTCTGTAACTGCTATGATGTCTGGGGACTTCTCATTGATTCTTTCTTGCCATTCCTCAGGTTTACTCGTTAATCCATCTGCATTTGTGTACCAAACCTTCAACTTCTGTTTTAATACTGTAACTGTGGTGCGGGGGGTGGGAACAGAGGGATCGGTGTGTGATGGTTGGTTTGGATTGTTCAGTTGCCTTGGGGGTGTCGTGGCTGGAGTCTTTCTGCAGGTGTTTCTGGGGGGTGTGCTTGTCCTTCCATTTGATCCTGGGTTATTTCTGCTCTCCTTTTTCTTTTCCCTCCCATTTCTCCTTTCGTTTTTGAAACTCTCTCTTTCATCGCCTTCTTTCGTCCTGTTTTGCTGTCTCGATCGAGGTACACACTCGGAACTCCTGCTTCCCCCTCCAGCCGTGCTTTCTCCTGCAGGATCATGGTTCGGGTTGATTCTGCCTTGAAATTACTTTGAGAGGCCGATTCCTTTTCTTTGTGAACCACCCGATTCTCTGAAAATTTGCCACCTGGGTCATGTCCCCCTCGCCTATCACCTTCATGATGTCTTCAATCGCTTTTTTCTCCTCCTGCTTTCTTTCATCATAAGTTTCCTGTTTAGCTTCGTCTAGCCCATAGACAAACACAGATCTCTCCCTTTCCACCTCCCACTGTGACTCCCATTGCATCCTCTGGTGTGTGTGGGGTGTGTGTGTGGTGTGTGTGTGTGTGTGTGTGTTTGTGGTGTTGTGTGTGTGTGTGTGTGTTTTGTGTGTGTTTTTTTTTTTGTGTGTGTGTTAGATATGAGTGAGGGGAGGCAAGCGGTTTTTATGACTTGATGTGCTGTTGGAATGTGAGCAAAGTAACATTTATGAAAGGATTCAGGGAAATCAGTTAGCTGGACTTCAGTCCTGGAGGTAGCAAGTACAGTGCCTGTACTTTTAAGGAGGGGTGGGAATATTTGCAGGTTTGAACTGTAGTATCAGCACCCCTCTGGCAAGACAGTGATGGAGTGAGTGATGGTGAAAGTGTTAATAATTTTTTGGGCCACCCTACCTTAGTGGCAGATGGCTAGTTTGTTTAAAAACAAAAGTGCATATAACGAAAAGTTGAAAGTAGTGTATAAAAATTACCAAGACCCCTACCTTTAGCCATCGTTCAGGTAAAGGCTCAAAAGGTTCAAATCTCAGCTCTGGGGGGTGACACAACATGCTCCGATTAACATGAATCACCTCTCCTCGTACTGCCCTCTCCACCAACCTATCAGAAATTGAAAACTCTTATATTTACATATTCTTCAGGTCAATTTAAGTACATGAAATATAACTACAATATTGTACAACTGTAAAGAACCAACATTCAATATTAGTACAACACTGTGCAGAGGTAGTGTAACAGTAGTAATTGCAGTAGTGATAGTAATAGTTGCAGCAGTGGCGGCAGCAGCGGCGGCGGCGAGAATGGCAGCGGCGGCGGCAGTAGCAGTAGTAGTAGTAGTAGTAATAAGAGTAGTAATAATAATAATAGTAATGTAATAAAGTTGGTAGAATTACTGACAGTATGTAAAGTAAAAGGACACAAGTGCAACCAATGTGACATTTTTATTGTGGCAATGTTTCACTCTCCAGGAGCTTTGTCAAGCCGTTACAAACAGTACATGGACACACAGGGTATATATAGGCTCAGAGTGAGGTGCAATACTAGTGGTAGTAGTAGTAGTAGTAGTGATATAAGTTGCAGTAGTAGTAGTAGGAATACAATATGTTAGAACACCTAACTCGCACATGAGTAAAAGGATATAAAAACTATTACTTGGGTAACATAAAAATAGGCCTTCTCTATCCAGCCTCAATAGAAATATTTGTCTAACCTATTTTTATGTTACCCAAGTAATAGCTTTTATGTCCTTTTACTCATGTGTGAGTTAAGTGTTCAAACATATTGTATTACTACTACTACTACTACTACAACAACTTGTATCACTACTACTATTATCAGTATTGCACCTCACTCTGAGCCTATATATACCCTCTGTGTCTATGTACTGTTTGTATCGGCTTGACAAAGCTCCTGGAGAGTGAAACGTTGCCACAATAAAAATGTCACATTAGTTGCACTTGTGTCCTTTTACTTTACAATAATAGTAATAATAATAATAGTAATAATAATAATAGTAATAATAATAATAGTAATAATAATAGCAATAATAATAGTAATTGTAGTAGTAGTATTGTAGTAACAGTAGTACAGTAGTAGTAATAGCAGTAGTAGTTGTAGTAACAGTAGTACAGTAGTAGTAATAGCAGTAGTAGTTGTAGTAACAGTAGTACAGTAGTAGTAATAGTAGTAATAATAGCAGTAGTAGTTGTAGTAACAGTAGTACAGTAGTAGTAATAGTAGTAATAATAGCAGTAGTAGTTGTAGTAACAGTAGTACAGTAGTATAATAGTAGTAATAATAGCAGTAGTAGTTGTAGTAACAGTAGTACAGTAGTAGTAATAGTAGTAATAATAGCAGTAGTAGTTGTAGTAACAGTAGTACAGTAGTAGTAATAGTAGTAATAATAGCAGTAGTAGTTGTAGTAACAGTAGTACAGTAGTAGTAATAGTAGTAATAATAGCAGTAGTAGTAGTAACAGTAGTACAGTAGTAGTAATAGTAGTAATAATAGCAGTAGTAGTTGTAGTAACAGTAGTACAGTAGTAGTAACAGTAGTAATAATAGCAGTAGTAGTTGTAGTAACAGTAGTACAGTAGTAGTAATAAGTAGTAATAATAGCAGTAGTAGTTGTAGTAACAGTAGTACAGTAGTAGTAATAGTAGTAATAATAGCAGTAGTAGTTGGAAATATGAACACATATGCAGTATAATGTGATCCTTTATTGACTACGTTTCGCCCACACAGTGGGCTTTTTCAAGTCACAGACAGAACTACCTGGGGTGGAAGGAATGCGAGTATTTATAGTCTGACTATAAATACTCGCGTTCCTTCCACCCCAGGTAGTTCTGTTTGTGACTTGAAAAAGCCCACTGTGTGGGCGAAACGTAGTCAATAAAGGATCACATTATACTGCATATGTGTTCATATTTCCATTGTGTCGGTATTTTATACCATTTATTTCCAACAGTAGTAGTTGTAGTAACAGTAGTACAGTAGTAGTAATAGTAGTAGTAATAGTAGCAGTAACAGTAGTAGTAGCAGTAAAAGTAGTAACAGCAACAGTAGTAGCAATAGTAACAATAGTAATAGTAATGCAGATTAATTACATGTCAAGGTGATGGAGAAAGATAACTAAACACTATCACACATCACTAAGGGGCTCAGCAAAAAACAAAGACAAGTGCTCCTCCATTCTTGCTTACCTGATGGCTTTGCCCCTGGGTGGACAGGGTGCAGGTATATTATAACTATACTTACTTTCTGCACTACCATATTTGTTACCACTATCAGGGATGCTTCTACACACTGACTTCTTAAATCAGACTCTGATGACCAGCTTGGCTTTACTCTACTGTATAAATGTCCTTCTATGTGTCTGTGCTTCATGAGGGAATTACCATAATTAGATCATCTCTATTACACATGTATTCATGTTCCCTGATGCTAATCTACTGCCTTCAACCAGTCTTCCCCACAAACGTCTTATTGCAGTGTCCAAAAGGGAAAGAGAAGACACCAGAAGTCGACACTGGGGCAGCAGGTCCTGGCGAGATCTTTGATGCTCTTTTAGACAAAATTGTACTGCCTTAGCAGTACAATTGTGCAGAAAATTGATAGCTTCAGCGTATCAAGAGTTCTAGCCAAGTTAATTTTACAGAACACTACCATCAGGCGACTTGGTACACCCAACCTTTAATGTTATATACTACTGTGTATCAGACTGAAAAAGCCCCTGGTGGGCAAAATGTTTCCGAGATAAAAATTTCCCATATGCTGTATGTGTATCCTCTTTATACAATTGGGTAATTATTTCTTCTAACTCATCTGAATTCCATAACAAGATTTTTGGAGCCATTTACAATGCAGAGTATGATATATAGCCTCTCCTCACTTAACGACGGAGTTCCGTTCCTAAGACATCAGTAAACGAACTTGTCGCTAAACAAGGCGCATACTATAATGGTAGTGGTTTGTATCAACCATCTTTGATACTGTTTTAATGCCACATTTACACCAATTATAACATTTTTAGTATATTTTTAAATGTTTGTACAGTAGTGTACTGTATGTTGTAATAAACAGAATAGAGAAAATTAGGTATGCATACTGGTCAGAGAGCCCATTGCAAGTCCGAGTCATCGGTAAATGAGTACATACGTTGCTAAGTGAGGAGAGACTGTATACCTGAACTAGGTGGTATATCCTTACTCTCTTCTCCCCTGTAGCTCAGATGGTGTCATGGAGGTGCCATGGAGAACCAGCTGCCAAGATACCAGTTGGCCATTGAGGTGCTGGTGTCGAGTCTGCATTACTGTCATCTGGTAGGTACCAACTGGATCCTCTCCCCAACAACGTACAGTACCAAGTGGCCAGTCCACCAGACCCTTGGTAGAACTAGAAAAGATATTTATAAAAATCAAAGGGAATCAAATAATACTAGTACAGTGGACCCCCGCATAACGATCACCTCCGAATGCGACCAATTATGTAAGTGTATTTATGTAAGTGCATTTGTACGTGTATGTTTGGGGGTCTGAAATGGACTAATCTACTTCACAATATTCCTTATGGGAACAAATTCGGTCAGTACTGGCACCTGAACATACTTCTGGAGTGAAAAAATATCGTTAACCGGGGGTCCACTGTACTGTACTAGAGAAAATGGATGCGTACCCTATGAACATGTTCCACAGAAGGTTAAACCATTATGCTATCTCGTTACAATCTACCAATTTATACGAGAGCATGTTTACTGGTGTGAGGGAGGAAGGATTTGTGATCCGTGTTCTTTAGGATATCTTCCCAGCTTGTTTCATTTAGGACATGGTTGATTTTATCCCACTTTATGTTTCTGTTATTGAAGTTGAATTCTGTGAAGGTACCGTCATAAATGATCTCATTTTGCTGGTCGGGAGCCCTGCACATACATGTCTGTACTTCTATTATGTTGTGATCTGCAGGCTCATGGCTAGTTTTTATGTGATGCTGCAGTGTAGAGGAAGTTTTAATTATTGTGCCTACTTGAGTTTATAGGGAAGGCATGCAGGTGTCCTTTGTTTTATGCTCTAGATGCATTCAAAGACCATGGCAGCTGTACTAAGTTTAACACCCCTTGCAAAAAATATCTACTACATGCAAACGAACATACATGGAATATGCAAGATTACCAATAAAAAAAAGGATATTGCATAATAGTGAATTTACATAAAGCGAGGGAACCTATCCACCAGGTCAAGTTCTTCCATATTCAAACTGCAGTAAGCAGCAATGAGGATCAACTTAGGATGCCTATGTATTCTAAAATACATAACATGCAGAAAAACACTTGATATCTTAAGTATCATAGATCGAGTGGCTGAAAGAAAAGACTTCAATAAGATATCAAAGTTCATTCTAGTTTACATTTACTTTCAACATACTACATAAGCAGATTTCATGAAAAAAAAGCATTACTGGATGACATGTACAACTTACCCCAAGTGCTTTCCACAAATATAATGAAACAAAACATTTGAAATTCTAAGAGGTAAATCTGCTTACTTGTCAACCTCCCTGGGTGCAGCAAGGGTTGACCTGGTACCACTGGGACACACTAGGACGATATTCAGGCTCCCTCTATAATCATGTTTTATTGTTATTCGCACCTGTACACACAAGAACATAAGAGCATCAGAAAAGGAAAGCACTGCTGCAGGCCTCCTGACTCATAATAGGCAGGTCCAGCAGACTCCACCATTCCCAGTCATGTGACTGCTAAACTCAACCTTAACTCTCACTCACTCACACAAACAAAAAAAACAGCCTCTATTACTCACACAAATAAGCACTGAATACATGTGCACAAATGCAATGAATGCATGTATACATGCACACATACGCTTAAAACCCGTCTGAGTTTGCTTCAACGACCCAATTTGTTATTCTCTCATACAATTCCACAGATTCAAGAAAGCATGTGAATCAGCTACTCTGCTTGAATATAATTCAGTTTCCATTGCTTAACTCATTGTTAATTTCCACACAGGTAAAATTCACAACAAATTTAATAGTAAACAATAAGAATCAAGAAAACAGAAGAATCATTATTATTACAGGAACACAACATTTTGTTCATGTGCAGTGAACTTTCACAAGTGACTCCAGAAAATAAAAGACATGCTCATATATACAGTAAGTAAGAGGGCAGTATATTGGGTGATTGTCACACCTGTTTTTAAAGCTACAGAAAGCTTCTCTAGATCGAGCTCTTTTTTTTGCAAATGTGATTTAAAAAGTTCAAGGTAGTAGGTTGGTAAACAGCGACCGCAAAGGGAGGTACTACCGTCCTGCCAAGTGAGTGTAAAATGAAAGCCTGTAATTGTTTTACATGATGGTAGGATTGCTGGTGTCCATTTTTCTGTTTCATGAACATGCAAGGTTTCAGGTACATCTTGCTACTTCTACTTACACTTAGGTCATACTACACATACATGTACAAGCATATATATACACACCCCTCTGGGTTTTCTTCTATTTTCTTACTACTTCTTGTTCTTATTTATTTCCTCTTATCTCCATGGGGAAGCGGAACAGAATTCTTCCTCCGTAAGCCATGTGTGTTGTAAGAGGAGACTAAAATGCCAGGAGCAAGGGGCTAGTAACCCCTTCTCTTGTATAAATTACTAAATTTAGAAAGAGAAACTGTCGTTTTTCTTTTTGGGCCACCCTGCCTCGGTGGGATATGGCTGGTACATTGAAAGAAAGAAAGATTTAAAAAGTACATCCAAAACTGAACAGGACATGGGTAGGCTTTCATAGTGCATGTTATTCAATTCTGGATGTAGTGTACTGAACTTTATCAGTTGTATTTACAAAAAATCACACTATATAAAGGAGCTTTATATGAGTTTATTGTACCAAAAGTGTTAGCATCACTGATCCTCGAGAAACTTGTGAAACACTTGGGTATCTTTATTTGTGGAATGTTTTGCCAACCAGTGGCTTCCTCAGTCCAATACAGAGAAGAATGGTTGAAGATCAGGAGTTTGAGGTAATCAATCCCTCAGTCTGGAGTCAATGTGATGGACTGATCACCTCAAACTCATAAGAACATAAGAATGTAGGAACACTGCAGAAGGCCTACTGACCCATGCGAGGCAGGTCCTTATCAAAACGACCTCTACCTAAAGCTACCCAAGAAATAACTCCCGTACCCAATGACACCATTCAAACCCAGCCCCTCCCACTCATATATTTGTCCAGCCTCTTCTTAAAGCTACCCAAGGTTCTAGCCTCTATCACCCCACTGGGAAGACTGTTCCACGCATCTACAACTCTGTTAGAAAACCAGTACTTACCTATGTCCTTTCTAAATCTAAATTTATCCAACTTAAATTCATTATTTCTGGTTCTTACCTGGTTCGACACCCTCAGTACTTTATTAACATCTCCCTTGTTTATGCCCGTCATCCACTTATACACTTCAATGATATCTCCCCTCATTCTACGCCTCTCCAGAGAGTGGAGATTTAAGGCTTTAAGTCTGTCTTCATACGGGAGGTTCCTTACATAGTAAATCATTTTAGTCATTCTTCTCTGTATGTTCTCTAATGAGCCTATATCCATCCTGATCTTCAACCATTCTTCTCTGTATTGGACTGAGGAAGCCACTGATTGGCAAAAAAATTCCACAATAAAGAACATAAGAAAGGAGGAACACTACAGCAGGCCTGTTGGCCCATACTAGGCAGGTCCTTTACAATCCATCCCACTAATAAAACATTTGCCCAACCCAATTTTCAATGCTACCCAAGAAACAAGCTCTGATAACTCTATCCACTCATTTGCAAGTCTCACTCAATCCAACCCCTCTCACTCATATATTTATCCAACCTAAATTTGAAACTACCCAAAGTCCTAGCCTCAATAACCCAACTAGGTAGACTGTTCCACTCATCAACTACCCTATTTCCAAACCAATACTTTCCTATGTCCTTTCTAAATCTAAACTTATCTAATTTAAATCCATTACTGCAGGTTCTCTCTTGGAGAGATATCCTCAAGACTTTATTAATATCCCCTTTATTAATACCCATCTTCCACTTATACACTTCGATCATGTCTCCCCTCATTCTTCGTCTAACAAGTGAATGTAATTTAGGAGTCTTCAATCTTTCTTCATAAGGAAGATTTCTAATGCTATGTATTAATTTAGTCATTCTACGCTGAATGTTTTCTAACGAATTTATGTCCATTCTGTAATATGGAGACCAGAACTGAGCTGCATAATCTAGGTGAGGCCTTACTAATGATGTATAAAGCTGCATTATAACCTCTTGACTTCTGTTGCTTACACTTCTTGATATAAATTCCAACAATCTATTTGCCTTATTATGGACGCTTAGGCATTGCTGTCTTGGTTTGAGGTTGCTGCTCACCCTAACCCCCCAAGTCCTTTTCGCAGTCTGTATGGCTAAGTTCTACATTATCTAACTTATAAGTGCTAGGGTTATGGACACTCCCGAGCTTTAGAACTTTGCATTTATCTACATGGAACTGCATCTGCCACTTTTCTGACCAAGAATGGAGTTTGTCTAAATCTTTCTGAAGTTCCCTAACATCTACGTTTGAATCAATTATCCTACCTATCTTTGTGTCATCGGCGAATTTGCTCATATCACTAGTAATTCCTTCATCAAGATCATTGATATATATTATAAACAACAACGGGCCCAAGACTGATCCCTGTGGAACGCCAGTTGTCACTGATCCCCACTCGGATTTAACCCCATTTATGGACACTCACCGCTTCCTGTCTGTGAGCCATGATTCGATCCACGAGAGCACCCTTCCCCCAATGCCATGAGCTGCCACTTTCTTTAACAGTCTTTGGTGCGGAACTCTATCAAAAGCCTTACTAAAATCTAAGTATTTTTATTATTTTATTATCACACCGGCCGATTCCCACCAAGGCAGGGTGGCCCGAAAAAGAAAAACTTTCACCATCATTCACTCCATCACTGTCTTGCCAGAAGGGTGCTTTACACTACAGTTTTTAAACTGCAACATTAACACCCCTCCTTCAGAGTGCAGGCACTGTACTTCCCATCTCCAGGACTCAAGTCCGGCCTGCCGGTTTCCCTGAATCCATTCATAAATGTTACTTTGCTCACACTCCAACAGCACGTCAAGTATTAAAAACCATTTGTCTCCATTCACTCCTATCAAACACGCTCAAGCATGCCTGCTGGAAGTCCAAGCCCCTCGCACACAAAACCTCCTTTACCCCCTCCTCCAACCCTTCCTAGGCCGACCCCTACCCCGCCATTCCTTCCACTACAGACTGATACACTCTTGAAGTCATTCTGTTTCGCTCCATTCTCTCTACATGTCCGAACCACCTCAACAACCCTTCCTCAGCCCTCTGGACAACAGTTTTGGTAATCCCGCACCTCCTCCTAACTTCCAAACTACGAATTCTCTGCATTATATTCACACCACACATTGCCCTCAGACATGACATCTCCACTGCCTCCAGCCTTCTCCTCGCTGCAACATTCATCACCCACGCTTCACACCCATATAAGAGCGTTGGTAAAACTATACTCTCATACATTCCCCTCTTTGCCTCCAAGGACAAAGTTCTTTGTCTCCACAGACTCCTAAGTGCACCACTCACTCTTTTTCCCTCATCAATTCTATGATTCACCTCATCTTTCATAGACCCATCCGCTGACACGTCCACTCCCAAATATCTGAATACGTTCACCTCCTCCATACTCTCTCCCTCCAATCTGATATTCAATCTTTCATCACCTAATCTTTTTGTTATCCTCATAACCTTACTCTTTCCTGTATTCACCTTTAATTTTCTTCTTTTGCACACCCTACCAAATTCACCACCAATCTCTGCAACTTCTCTTCAGAATCTCCCAAGAGCACAGTGTCATCAGCAAAGAGCAGCTGTGACAACTCCCACTTTGTGTGTGATTCTTTATCTTTTAACTCCACGCCTCTTGCCAAGACCCTCGCATTTACTTCTCTTACAACCCCATCTATAAATATATTAAACACCACGGTGACATCACACATCCTTGTCTAAGGCCTACTTTTACTGGGAAAAAATTTCCCTCTTTCCTACATACTCTAACTTGAGCCTCACTATCCTCGTAAAAACTCTTCACTGCTTTCAGTAACCTACCTCCTACACCATACACTTGCAACATCTGCCACATTGCCCCCCATCCACCCTGTCATACGCCTTTTTCCAAATCCATAAATGCCACAAAGACCTCTTTAGCCTTATCTAAATACTGTCACTTATATTTTCACTGTAAACACCTGGTCCACACACCCCCCTAACCTTTCCTAAAGCCTCCTTGTTCATCTGCTATCCTATTCTCCGTTTTACTCTTAATTTTTTCAATTATAACTCTACCATACACTTTACCAGGTACACTCAACAGACTTATCCCCCTATATTTTTGCACTCTCTTTATCCCCTTTGCCTTTATACAAAGGAACTATGAAATGCTCTCTGCCAATCCTAGGTACCTTACCCTCTTCCATACATTTATTAAACAATTGCACCAAACCCAAATCAAAAACTATATCCCCACCTGCTTTTAAACATTTCTATCTTTACCCCATCAATCCCGGCTGCCTTAACCCCCTTTCATTTTACCTACTGCCTCACGAACTTCCCCCACACTCACAACTGGCTCTTCCTCACTCCTACAAGATGTTATTCCCCCTTGCCCTATACACGAAATCACAGCTTCCCTATCTTCATCAACATTTAACAATTCCTCAAAATATTCCTTCCATCTTCCCAATACCTCTAACTCTCCATTTAATAACTCTCCTCTCCTATTTTTAACTGACAAATCCATTTGTTTTTCTAGGCTTTTTTAACTTATTAATCTCACTCCAAAACTTTTTCTTATTTTCAACAAAATTTGTTGATAACATCTCACCCACTCTCTCATTTGCTCCCCTTTTTACATTGCTTCACCACTCTCTTAACCTCTCTCTTTTTCTCCATATACTCTTCCCTCCTTGCATCACTTCTACTTTGTAAAAACTTCTCATATGCTAACTTTTTCTCCCTTACTACTCTCTTTACATCATCATTCCACCAATCGCTCCTCTTCCCTCCTGCACCCACTTTCCTGTAACCACAAACTTCTGCTGAACACTCTAACACTAAATTTTTAAACCTACCCCATACCTCTTCGACCCCATTGCCTATGCTCTCATTAGCCCATCTATCCTCCAATAGCTGTTTATATCTTACCCTAACTGCCTCCTCTTTTAGTTTATAAACCTTCACCTCTCTCTTCCCTGATGCTTCTATTCTCCTTGTATCCCATCTACCTTTTACTCTCAGTGTAGCTACAACTAGAAAGTGATCTGATATATCTGTGGCCCCTCTATAAACATGTACATCCTGAAGTCTACTCAACAGTCTTTTATCTACCAATACATAATCCAACAAACTACTGTCATTTCGCCCTACATCATATCGTGTATACTTATTTATCCTCTTTTTCTTAAATATGTATTACCTATAACTAAACCCCTTTCTATACAAAGTTCAATCAAAGGGCTCCCATTATCATTTACACCTGGCACCCCAAACTTACCTACCACACCCTCTCTAAAAGTTTCTCCTACTTTAGCATTCAAGTCCCCTACCACAATTACTCTCTCACTTGGTTCAAAGGCTCCTATACATTCACTTAACATCTCCAAAATCTCTCTCTCTCCTCTGCATTCCTCTCTTCTCCAGGTGCATACACGCTTATTATGACCCACTTCTCGCATCCAACCTTTACTTTAATCCACATAATTCTTGAATTTACACATTCATATTCTCTTTTCTCCTTCCATAACTGATCATTTAACATTACTGCTACCCCTTCCTTTGCTCTAACTCTCTCAGATACTCCAGATTTAATCCCATTTATTTCCCCCCACTGAAACTCTCCTACCCCCTTCAGCTTTGTTTCGCTTAGGGCCAGGACATCCAACTTCTTTTCATTCATAACATCAGCAATCATCTGTTTCTTGTCATCCGCACTACATCCACGCACATTTAAGCAACCCCAGTTTTATAAAGTTTTTCTTCTTCTCTTTTTAGTAATTGTATACAGGAGAAGGGGTTACTAGCCCATTGCTCCCGGCATTTTAGTCGCCTCATACGACACGCATGGCTTACGGAGGAAAGATTCTTTTCCACTTCCCCATGGACAATAGAAGAAATAAAAAAGAACAAGAGCTATTTAGAAAAAGGAGAAAAACCTAGATGTATGTATATATATATATGCATGTGCGTGTCTGTGAAGTGTGACCAAAGTGTTAGTAGGAGTAGCAAGATATCCCTGTTATCTTAGCGTGTTTATGAGACAGAAAATATCAAATTCTTTATCGTGGTCAACAGCCTCAAAAGCTTTACTGAAGAAAGTTAATAAATTAGTTAGACAAGACCGGCCTCTTGTGAATCCATGCTGAGTATCATTAATCAAGCTATGCTTATCGAGATGGCTTCTTATAATCTCAGCTATAATTGACTCTAGTAATTTGCCTACAATTGAGGTCAGGCTTACTGGGCGGTAATTTGACGGTAACGACTTGTCCCCTGTTTTAAAAATAGGAATTACATTAGCCATCTTCCACATATCAGACACTACACCTGTTTAAAGAGATAAATTAAAAATATTAGTTAATGGTTCACAGAGTTCCATTTTGCATTCCTTAAGAACCCTTGAAAAAAACTCGTCAGGACCCAGTGACTTATTTTGCTTCAGTCGGTCTATCTGCTTCACAACCATTTCACTAGTGATTGTGATGTTACATAATTTATCTTCTTCCGGCCCACTATAAAAATTAATTACTGGAATATTATTAGTGTCTTCCTGTGTAAAAACCGAGAGAAAATAATATTTAAAATCGAGCACATTTCATTCTCTTTGTCAGAAAGATGCCCATAGTTATTTTTAAGGGGACCTATCTTATCTCTGACTTTTGTTCTATATACCTGGAAAAAACTTTTTGGGTTAGTTTTAGAATCCCTAGCAACTTTAATTTCATAGTCCCTTTTAGCTTTTCTTATCCCCTTTTTAATGTCCCTCTTAATATCCATATACTGATTCATAAGATGACCCTCACCTCTTTTGATACGCCTATAAATTCCTTTCTTATGCCCTAGTAGATATTTCAGCCTATTATTCATCCATTTTGGGTCATTTCTATTTGATCTAATTTCTTTATATGGGATAAACGTTCTTTGAGCCGCATGTATTGTGTTCAGAAAACTGTCATATTGATAGCTCTCTTCGTTACCCCAGTTAACAGATGATAAGTGTTCTCTAAGCCCATCGTAATCTGCTAAGCGAAAATCTGAGGACTGTTACTGAGTTATCCCTACTATCATACTTCCATTCCATGCTAAATGTAATTGATTTGTGATCGCCTAGATTACATAGCTCAGTTCTGGTCTTCATATAACAGAATGGATACAAATTCGTTAGAAAAAATTCAGCATAGAATGACAAAATTAATTCATAACATTAGAAATCTTCCATATGGAGAAAGACTGAAGTCCTTTAAATTACATTCACTTGTAAGACGAAGTATGAGGGGAGACATGATCAAAGTGTACAAGTGGAAGATGGGTATTAACAAAGAGGATATAATTAAGGTCTTGAGGATATCTCTCCAAGAGAGAACCCACAATAATGGATTCAAATGAGATAAGTTTAGATTTAGAAAGGATATAGGAAAGTATTGGTTTGGAAATAGGGTAGTTGAAAAGTGGAACAGTCTGCCTAGTAAGGTTACTGAACCTAGGACCTTGGGTAGTATCAAATTTAGGTTGGATAAATACATGAGTGAGAGGGGTTGGATTTGAAAGGACTTGCACACAAGTAAATAGAATAATCAAAGCTTATTTCTTGGGTAGCACTGAAAATTGGGTTGGGCAAATATTCTATTAGTGGGATGGATTGTGAAGGATCTGCCTAGTTTGGGCCAACAGGCCTGCTGCAGTGTTCCTCCTTTCTTATGTTTTTATGTAATCAGTGATCCTATTCTGTAGATTGTTCTTCTCATTGACAACCTTCACTTGATGCACTTCCCTCTTACTTATGTAGATTCAGGTTAGGTTAAGTAAGGTTTGTCAGGAAACACTACAAGTGTTTCCCTATGGCCTGGCTTCACACGCAGAGGGCCCGGGTTCAATTCCCGGCGGGGTGGAAACATTTCAACACGTTTCCTTACACCTGCTGTCCTATTCACCTAGCAGCAAATAGGTACCTGGGTGTTAGTCGACTGGTGTGGGTCACATCCTGGGGGACAAGATTGAAGACCCCCAATGGAAATAAGACAGATAGTCCTCGATGATGCACTGCCTTTTTTGGGTTATCCTGGGTGGCTAACCCTCCGGGGTTAAAAATCCAAATGAAATCTTATCTTATCCTGACGCAGATCTTAGTCACACGATGACTGAGGCTTTCCACTGGCTTACCAGTCTACCCCTTTAAAAAATTTAAGATTATTATTAATGTTTTAGACTGCAATGATGTAGATTCACTTGAGAAAGTTCACTATATGTGAATGAAATGATGTGTACCTCTAATAATGAAAGTTCTTGTGTTTTCTGTTTTTTTTATCATTACTTGTCAGCTGTTGCCACAATTTCAAAGTTAAAAAAGATTAAAATTTTAAATCTTTGAATCAACAACAGTTAAAGTTTGATTTTCCAAGTAACTTTTATTCCTGGAGTACATGGGTGTACAGGGGCATAGTAAATGGGTATACATAAACATACACAAGAGTAAATGGGTGAACATAGCAGCAAGTGAGTACATGAGAGTACAGTAAATATACATTGGAAAAACAAGTACTGAATGGAATGTCAGTTAAAACTTTATTTCATTATAACAATAACATCCAGTGTGTGATGTTCTTGGCTGTTCCTCTGTACTCTCTGCTTCATCTCTTAATTTACTAGCCTCTGGTCCCCAATACTGATGCTTCACATCTTACACAGATCTTCTGGCAGCCTCTCACTGTCTACCTGACATCATCACAGTTCAGATGCCCCTCCAAACTAATATTCCCAACCCTCCATCAGAGAGTAGGCACTGTAATTTCCACCTCTAGGACTCAAGTCTGGCTAACTGGTTTCCCTGAATCCCTTCATAAATGTTACCTTGCTCATGCTCCAACAGCATGCTGATAATATTAATTTTCCATAAATTAAATGCATGGCCAATTTTCTTTCTCATATACATACAAAATGGGATAGGATTCAATGTCTTACTTGTACAAATTCCAAAATGTTGAGAGCATATCCTTGCAATACATGCTTATCTATAGCGTGTTTGACCATAACTTCACCAAGTCTCTCTGCTGGCATAGGTAGCTCAACCACCATCTTCTCTGATGTGTATGTTGTAGAGAATGGAACAGACTCCCAGATGGTTGCAGCAGAAACCATTGCAGCAGCATCAATAAGACCAAAGCCATGTTGATGTGAGTGGTGGAGGCCAGCACCATTATTAGCCCAGTCTGAGTTTGATGCATCAATCTAATGAAGAAAAAATGGGTAAAAGACATTTATGCTTCAAGCAGAATAGAATTAATAAAATTAAACTGTTACAGTAACTTAGGTAAATTATTTCCCAAGTGTTTAATAACTCTGCTTCCCTTATTGTTAAGTTAATTAAACTATGCATCCCTTCAAGAGTGTGTTGATGCTGGTGAAAGACTTGGTCTGAGAAATTGGAGCTACGTTTACCTTCCTCACACCAATCCTGGGTGTACAAATACCAGCACCATAGCATTCTTATGGATCTGACACTTCCCCATTGATAATATAGTAATTAATGGAAATAGGAAGTACAATGCCTGCACTCTAAAGGAGGGGTTCAGGATATTGGCAGTTTGCAGGGATATGTTGTGTATCTTTATATGTATATGCTTCTGAGCTGTTGTATTCTGGGCACCTCTGCAAAAACAGTGATTATGTGTGAGTGAGGTGAAAGTGTTGAATGATGTTGAAAGTACTTTCTTTTTGGGGATTTTCTTTCTTTTTGGGCCACCCTGCCTCAGTGGGAGATGGCCGACTTGTTGAAAAAAAAAAAAAACCTCCATGGGGAAGTAGAGAAGAATTCTTCCTCCGTAAGCCATGTGTGTCATATGAGGTGACTAAAATGCTGGGAGCAAGGGGCTAATAACCCCTTCTCCTGTATAAATTACTATATTTAAAAAGAGAAACTTTGCTTCCCTTTTTAGGCCACCCTGCCTCGGTGGGATATGGCCAGTTTGTTGAAAAAAAAAGAATAAATGTATGTATAATACATATTTAGTCTACAATTTTTTTTTTTATAATATGCTAAATCTGTGTGGGCCATTCAGGGCAAGTAGTAGTGGAGGTTTGATCTTCCATTTGCTATTCATGAGAAGAATGTGTTACTCTCACAGCCAGCCTGACTAAGGAGAGAATCTATTTAGTCTACATTATATTACATTACAGTATTTTTTAGGTAAAAGGACATAGATGTAACTAATGTGACATTTTATTGTGGCAATGTTTCGCTCTCCAGGAGCTTTGTCAAGGCTTGACAAAGCTCCTGGAGAGCGAAACGTTGCCACAAGAAAATGTCACATTAGTTGCACATGTGTCTTTTTACCCAACATTTTGTTGGTAATTCTATCATTATTACTAAATTGTCTACTGTATTTACCATAGGTAATCAGTTGCTCCAACTAATTTGTGGTCCTTATTTGCTACTTTTGCTAATCCAATATCTTTACTAATGAGCAGTCTATGAATAAAAGTAAGACATTTCTAATGCAAAATTTATTTAGCATTTTCCAAATAAAGAAGAATGAATCCTCAAATTCTAAGTTTAAAATGAACTCCAAATTTTTTAATGTTTATGAATAAAAGCAAAAGTTCCAAATTATAATGTGGAAAAATCTGGTTTGATTTCTGATCCTATTTTTAATTTTTCAGATAGTCAAAATTTTTAATTTAAATTAACAAAATGTCTCAAATTCAGTTTTTTGACTGTAATTTTACATATAAAAATGTATATATTAGGGAACACACAAACATAGACAATGTGATTACCCATTTCTAGAAACTACAGTTTAAAAACTGCAACATGGATATACGGTGCAGTTTTTGAACTGTAGTGTTGGCATGCCTCTGGCAAGACAGTGATGGAGTGAGTGATGATGAATGTGTTTCTTCTTTTCCAGGTCACCCTGTCTCAGGTGACCTGAACACTAACCTTTCTAGAGGTTAGTGCAATGAGGTACTGAACATCTCTCCATGACAGACATGGCTGAACCTCAAATGCCAGAGCAATTACTGCAGCAGCTAAGGGAGCAGCAGCAGACGTTCCTGAGTGATGCTTGGTGCACCCAGAGGGGCTAATCTCACTCCAGTCTGTTGTTACCTAGGCCACAACAAAGAAAATATATGCACACTAGGATTTAATAAAAGCGCACTAATTAAATCTACAATCTAACGTGGGATGAATTTACGAGAAAATAAAATACTTTTTTGGGTTATCCTAGGTAATTTACACTGTATGATAACTGTACTTATGTGTGCCAGTGTCTAAATAAACTTACTAATTTCAAGAAAGCTTTTACATCAAATATTAATGTTAATAAGCAACATAAAGAAAAAGTTTCTTAGGAAAATAGCTAAAACAGTATGTGTGTGTGTGTGTGTTGTTGTATCAAGAGGTTCAAATCTATTAACACTAGAATTCAACTCTTTCAAGCTAACATTACTATACATATAGAAAAGCTTAGCAGTTTGTGTGCCTTACAGTATTGTATTTTGTTGACATACTCTTCTATACTTGGTCTGTAGCTCTGTGACTGTGTATTCAGCTTGGTAGGAGCAAGTCATATTGCTGTAATGCTATCCATCAAAATTCTGGAAGTTACACTATACCCAAACTGCTAATCAACAGGATATTACCCATTCTGGAGACTGCGGTAACAATGCGGACAAGGATTTCTCAAACCCATCTCACCACAACTGTACTACTACTACTGTACTCAATATCATGGTTTTCTACCGACTCCTGCACACTATATGTAATACTTGTTACTTAGTGATCTCGTCATAGGCTTGATAGAAACCGACTATGAACAAAAGTTCTCTCTAATAAATTCTACTGACTTGTACTAAGTGTTTTTTTTTTTTTCAGAACTTTTTAAACACCTGTCACCTGAGCAGCCAACATGTACTATACTAGGTGTTACTAGTTATTGTAGGTCACATCTAGGGATACTCTTTGATCATTTCCTCTAACATTCTGAATGGATATTGTTTCAGTTCTAAGTTTCTTAACCTGCTCTAGACCACAAAATAATATTACCAGATTTAGTAATACAAGTTATTTCTTTCTGTACAATACAGGTTTGTTAGCTAGAACACCTATATTCTGTGAATAAATAATTTATACATGAGTTTTGCTAGTACACTTTGAGATAGTATACTTATTATTGCCAAAATGTTTCACCTGCACAATAGGTTTCTCTAAACAAATACAGAAGAATAAAGTACTGAAGACAGTAGAAGTGGAGTGATCATTTAGAGATGATCAGTTTCTAAGCCTTCTATCAGTCCCTTCTATCAAGGCCTAGGGACTGATCCCCTAAAACTTTCTTCTCCACTTTTACTGTCTGGAATGTTATAATCTCCTGTATTCAACTGAAGAAGCTACTTGTACAGAAGAAATGTTGCAGGAATAAGGATACCTAAGTGGTGCACATGTGTCTTATTTATCAATAATGTATACCACCATCATGATACTAGAGCACTCTGGAGGAGGAGTGGTAATGTTGCAGTCGGAAGGTAATATTAATTGTAATATCAGCATACTTCTGGAAAGACAGTGATTAAATGAATGATGGTGAATGCACTTTCTAATTTGGGTCACCCTACCTTAAGGGGAGATGGCTGTTGAAGTGAATTTTTTTTTTTTTGTCTAGCTTGACTGTAACCTTTCTGACTTTCTCAATTCTTTCTAATAATACATACATTATATAGTATATATTGAAAGGTTACAGCCAAACTTGACTTGTGATTGTGAGAAATATAATATCTGCATTTTGAAGGCTTACCAAAAATTACTATCTCAAGTCTGTTAAATCTAGTTCTTTTTTTGATTCTCTAACCTAACCTATTTAACCAGGAAGTCCTGGAACTTGAGGTTCAATTATACATCACTAAAGTACAGCTCATTTTCCCCAAAACTTAAAGTAAACACAATAACTGCTAGCATAACACACTACAACACTTACAATATCACGGCCATTACTCCCCGAGCTTGGTGTCACTGCCAACATTGCTGCACATTCCTCTGCATAGTATGGCATTCGGCCCTTGAAGTCTACGGCCCCAATTGTCACTGTGTAGACCGAGTTGGCATAACCATCAAAATTACCTGAAATACGGTACTGTAATATATATCACAGAAGCACACCTCAGAACTGCCATTAATGTTAAGGAAATACAGCATTTTGCAATGGTTTTCAATTATATCCATTTTTCATTTATTCAGATTTCCTACAATAAATATATTCACCACTCACTATAACTTAAGGATAAAATATTTTAAGGTAAGCAATCTGTGTACTGTACGTGCATTTTTTAGGCCTAGTTTTATTGCTCAAATAATATATGATAGAGTAAATTTGTTATCAGGCTTTTATATGGATTTGAAAGTGAAAAATGCTATATGTATTTCACTTTACAGCAATTTTTGCTTTACAGAAGTAGCCTGAAACCTAGCCTGCTGTATAAACAGGGCACTCCTGTAAATATCGGAGGGATTCTTAATAGTTTTTATCTACAAGACTACTAAAAATTTTATCAATGCTGTACACATCAATACTGCACTTGTACAGTGACCTACTGTAGTTTTAGCATACATGGCATTTTACTGTTCATGATATTGTTTATGAACATTATGTAAATATTCAAAGGCCTTTCATTAGCCTTATCAGCAAATGAAGGAAAAAATGGTGGGTGGTGCATCAAGACATCTATATAGATAAAGAACCTTGTCTATAGGGCAAAAAATGGAATGTACCAGAGTATAGTGGTACCAACACTCTTCTTTTAAACACTTAAGCAAGGAAGAGATGTGTCTGAGGGCAAAGTATGGTGTAAATATTATGCAGAGAATTTATAGTTTGAAGATTAGGTGGTGGGGGGTTACTAAAAGTATTACCCAGAGGACTGAGAAGGGGTTGCTGAGGTGGTTTGGACATTTAGAGAGGATCAAGGAAGCTGTGATGACTTGGAGGGTGTATAAATCTGTAGTGGAGGGAAGGCAGGGTACGGGTTGCCCTAGGAAAGGTTGGAGGGAGGGGGTAAAGGAGGCTTTGTATGAGAGGGGCTTGAATCTCCAGCAGGTGTATGTGATATAATTATAATCATGGGGGAGCACTAAACCTGTAGGAGTATACAGCGCATGTAGGGGAGGGATGGAAGGTATTCAGGCTCAATTCCATGAGCTGGAGCACAGATCCAATTCCCTAGATCAAGAGCCCCTCACCAGCATCAAGGAGCCTCCCTTGAGGGGCAGGCGTGTGTGAGCGTGTGAGACAGGAGTGGGGTTAGTTTAATATGTTTATTATGCACCCCATACCCATCCTGTGGGCGGTAGTCAAAAGATTACAGAGGTACATAATGGGTCCAGGGACTGGGCCTCAAAGTTTTGATGGCTGAGCAAGTTACAGAGGTAATGAATTCACAATTTACAAAGGTAATGAACTCCAGGTAGGTCTAGTCACAATCATGACAAGTTACAAAGGTATTAACAGATTATAGAGGTACACAATGGGTCCAGGGACTGGGCCCCAAAGTTTTGATGGCTGAACTAGGTACAAGGTAATGAACTCACAAGTTACAAAGGTAATGAATACTGTAAGAATGGTTACTTGCATTTATACATGGCTACAATCATGAACAAATTTTAGAGTAATGAGCAATTCACACTTCCACACCCGGTCACAACTGTAGTGAGTTATTGGTGCAAATATTGATTGTTGAGTCACACACACACACACACACACACACACACATAAACACACACACACACACATAAACACACACACACACACATACACAAACTCATACACACACACGCACACTCATACACATACACACGCACACACAAACACACACACAAACACACACGCACACACACACAGGAGCTTGGACTCGACCCCTGCAATCTCAACTAGGTGAGTGCACACACACACACACATACACACAAGTGGTTTTTATGACTTGACATGCTGTTGGAATGTGAGCAAGGTAACATTTATGAAGGGATTCAGGTAAACTTGCCACCTCCAGAACTTGGGTCCTGGAGGTGGAAAGTATAGTACTTGCACTCTGAAGAAAGGATGGGGACATCTGCAGTTTGGAGGGGCATATGAACTGTAGTACTGATGCACCTCTGGCAAGACAGTGATGGACCGAGCAATGGCAAAAACATTTCTTTTTTTTCTCATGTCGCCCTACCTCAGTGGAAGACAGCTGGTGTTAAAAAAAAAAATAGTAGTTCGCACAACTTACAATTATCCTTGTTTCTCCCACCATTGCCAGATGCAACAACATAAATGGCACCATATCCCCTCCTGCCATAGGTGATACCATGTAGCAATGCACGAGAAGCCAAGTGGTGAGGACCGTCTACTGTCTTCCCGTCATCATCTGGACCCCAGCTGCAACAAAACTTTCATTTACTGTATATAGTAAGCTCTCTCAAGACTCCTATATATGTATATTGTGCAATTTTTTATACAGCATATGGAAAGGCTTTTATAATACAGATTCAATTTTGGAGAAACTTTTTTGTCATATTTACAAAAAAATCAAACTGTATAGATCTTTATAAGAGCTGACTTATTACTGTACATGTATTACTGTATAATACATGGAGCTTATTAAAACAAATTGCTAAGTAGAATTCTTCCCTTAATGCAAAATGGAACATATATGGTTCATGTCCCTTATTTATGCTCAAAAATAAAGACTTAAGTAAGTTTCTTCTTGAAACAAGTCTTGCTTTAACCATAAAATTTATTGCAGAGGTTAAGTAAAATAATACAGTATTAAATTCTCTAGGCATTAAAAAAATTTAATTCAAATTATTTAAGAAGGTAACCAATTTTTTTCCTATGCAAACGATTATTGATCAGTACAGAGTTACCATTATAATAAAAGTTATTGATCAGTACAGAGTTACCATTATAATAAATGTATTTTCTTACCTACACGAATATACATCATTAACCTCTAGCCCTTGAATAAATGCCGAAGCTTCCATGGAATCTGTCATACGCCCTCCAAGCACACGAATTCCAGAGATGTTCGCTCGATAAGCTACACCAACACCACAAACACTGTTGGCAACTGCAGCAATCTCCCCAGCACATCTTGTCCCATGCTCGTTTCGTTCTGCAAGCAGGAGATGTTACTGTTCAATTTTTATCATTCTGTGCGGGTGCGGAGGTGTGGGATTACCAAAACTATTTTCCAGAGGGCTGAGGAAGGTTGTTGAGGTGGTTTGGACATGAAGAGAGGATGGAACAAAATAGAATGAGATACCTTTGATATATCTTTGAAGAGTTTCGAGAGCTTATCTACTCTCTGAGCCCAGCCATGGGCCAGGCTCGTCTAGTGTATAAATCTGTAGTGGAGGGAAGGCATGAGTAAGCACAAACAAACTGGTGTGGGCAGTCCACAGCTCGGCAACAACGAAAATATACAGGTCCTGGACGTGGACACTGTAATCATAATTTAGTTGTAAAGTTGTCCAAAATGCTGTGCATATCAAGAGACTTTCTATAAATTAGTTATATACAGTGGACCCCCGGTTAACGATTTTAATCCGTGCAAGAGGGCTCATCGTTATGCGAAATAATCGTTATGCGAATGAATTTTCCCCATAAGAAATAATGGAAATAAAATTAATCCGTGCAAGACGCCCAAAAGTATGAAAAAATTTTTTTTTTACCACATGAAATGTTAATTTTAATACACACAAACTGAAAAAGGCATGCACAATTACATGACACTTACTTTTATTGAAGATCTGGTGATGATTGATGGGATGGGAGGAGGGAGAGCATTATCTTCTTACTGTTTAGAAGGGGAATCCCCTTCCATTAGGACTTGAGGTAGCAAGTCCTTTTCTGGGGTTACTTCCCTTCTTCTTTTAATGCCACTAGGACCAGCTTGAGAGTCACTGGACCTCTGTCGCACAACAAATCTGTCCATAGAGCTCTGTACCTCCCGTTCCTTCAAGACTTTCCTAAAATGGGCCATAACATTGTCATTGAAATAGTCACAAGCACGGCTTGCAACAGCTGTGTCAGGGTGATTTTCATCTATAAAGGTTTGCAGTTCAACCCACTCTGCACACATTTCCTTAATCTTTGAAGTAGGCACAATGGATTCCACAACTGGCATAGGCTTCTCAGGGTTAGCCCCAAACCCTTCAAAATCTTTCTTAATTTCCATACTAATTCCACCCTTTTTACCACAGGGTTGGCACTAGAAGCTTTCTTGGGGCCCATGGTCACTTATTTTCCAGAAACAGCACCGAAAATACTGTAATAATACGAAATATTCCGAGTGTATGCTTGGATGTTACCGCGGAGGCTGGCTGGTAAACAATGGGACGGAGCGGCACATGTGAGGCTGGCTGAGGGCACATTGGACGCGTCTCGGACGAAAAATCGGTATGCGGGTTTTTAATCGGTATGCGGGGCAAAAATTTTGCGATAAAAGTAATCGTTATGCGGAAAAATCGCTATGCGATGCCATCGTTATGCGGGGGTCCACTGTATGTCAATCAGCCTATTTGTATAATATACTGTATGTACTTCACTTTAATTAAAAAGTTTGTGTTTGTTACTGGCTTGTACTGGACAAACATCAGAATCAATGAACTTGGTTCAATGATTCAAAAAAAAAAAAAAAAAAAAAAACACTATCACCATGGAAACAAATCCTGAATTATAGATTTTTCCCATTTGTCCAGTGATTCCAATGTTTGTCTGGCCAATTTTGTCCACAATATTTGAAATCTGTTAAAGGGGAGTCTGTGAAGAAGGTGTTATTGTGTATTAACAATAAACTCTCATTTTAATGGACTAATATGAGAGGAGAAGAAAGGGTGGGTGGCCATTAGTGGTAAAGTAATTATGATGGATAGCAACATGATTGACTTTGTCATAACTGTAATATTACGGGACAATTCTGCAGCTAATGAACTATCTGCTCTTTCCAAATCAAGTGATCCAACATATTTTGTCCTGCATTTCTGAAGTCCATTAAACTGAGATATATATTGTGTTTTAAAACAATAAGTACTTCAGACCTATGTTAAAAAAAAAAAAATTTTTTTTACTGTGACTCAAGATGTCTACCAATGTGCTTCCTAATGGTACCTCATTTTCTGGTGATGTAGAAAACAATGTATAATACACATACAAAATTATTTAACCACATAATAGAAAATTTGCATACAGAAAAGTTTTAATGTATCTGCCATTTCAAATGTACATTTATATATACTTGCCTCCATTCTTCACAGGAGATGGATCAGGATCATCTGAATTAAGGTCATACGAGCCTGTAGGGTTATAGTTGTCCCTCAGATCTGGATGTTGCCACTCCAGTCCGTCATCAATGACACACACAGTTACACCTCGACCAGTGATGCCACTCTCCCATGCGCTTACAACATTAATGTCATACTGACCAGCAACAGAGTTTTTCTGCAACATACATTATAAACGTACTAATTATTAAAAGACAAAGAAGAAAATTTTAAATCTGGATTGTTCGAATATGCATGGATGTAGTACAGAGCACAAGAAAAAAAATAAATGTTATGAATGAAAAGAAGCTGGATGTCCTGGCACAAGGCAAAAAAAAAAACAAAGGTTCAGTTTCAAACAAGAATTAAGAACAATATTTAAGATAACGTCTCATTCATAAGCTGGGGACACCTGTACATATTTTTTTCTAAATATATTCTACTGTACTGTACTATCTTGAAAACCAGAGGAAAAATAATTATCAATACTATTAACAAACTATGCGTACTAGAAATCAACAACACTAAATATAATTAAAAAGACTTACCAAATGCCACTGCTCTTCATACAAAGGGTCAAGAAACTGTATTCTACTTCTTTTCTGCCGAGGTCTAAGCACTTCTTGTTTAGCATATTTAATGCAAGGGTGGTTACTAAAATACTTCTCCAAACATGCCTCAATTCTGAGGAATACAAATTCACTATTTGTAATTGGTTTTCTATAATCACCAGATATAAAGGTTGAGGTATTGCTTGGGTTTATATTTTGTACTCTTCGATTTTGTCTGGTTTTCCATTTTCTCTTACTTTGAAAGTAAAATCGGAAGTAAGGATGAGCAACTATATACATATTTTTGAAGTAAGCCAGTTTTTTTAAAATAATGAGTTGCATTGGTATATCACAACAGCAAATTTCCTGGTCAAGAGAATAAATCTTCCCATTATATTTCTGAGCACTGTCATGGTTTAGACTACTCAGTGTATCTTTGGAATGATTATATATTAATTTTGTGCTACTTTCATTGCTGCTATTGTACCTCATTTGGAGGTTTCTCTTTCTAAAGTCATCAATCACCTTACTAATAGTACACTCATCACCTATTTCCACCACCCATGCAAGGGAATGCACATAAGACCCACGGACTAGGTGTAGGTCTCCACGGTGGTGGTGCTCGGATGGGTCTACCTTTTCCTTGGCAGATACCGAAGCCATAAAATTTATCACAAGAGCACATAGTAGTGTGCTCCATGGAGGTTTAAAATGGTTAAACGAAAAGTGAATGCTAATGTGCATTGCGAGATGTCTGTCTGCGTGTTTTTGCCATGCTGTAGATGTCTCCATCATCAGACCTGTTAATAAAAAATAGGTCAGAGCAATAACTCATTAAATTTTGTGATAAAATAAAGAAAATACAGTGGACCCCTGCCTTACGAACGCATTGCGTTACGTTAAATCCGCCATATGAAGCATTTGAACGCAAAAATTTTGCCTCGCCTCACGATAAAAAACTCGCCTTACGTGATTCATCCGAGATGCGTCCTACGTGGCCTCGGCGCCAGTGTTTACAAGCCAGCCAGTGCAGTCGCATCTACGCATACATTTGGTACATTTCACATTATCCCAGTGTTTTTAGTGCTTGTAACTGCAAAATAAGTCACCATGGACCCCAAGAAAGCTTCTAGTGCCATCCCTGTGGTAAAAAGGGTGAGAATTAGTATGGAATTGAAAAAAGAGATTAAGGAAATGTGTGCAAAGTGGGTTGAACTGCAAACCTTTATGGATGAAAATCATCCTGACACAGCTACTGCAAGCCGTGTTGGCAACCTGTACAATGACAATGTTATGGCCCATTTTAGGAAAGTCTTAAAGGAATGGGAGGTACAGAGATCTATGGACAAATTTGTTGTGCGACGGAGGTCCAGTGACTCTCAAGCTGGTCCTAGTGGCACTAAAAGAAGAAGGAAAGTAACCCTAGAAAAGGACTTGCTACTTCAAGTCCTAATGGAAGGGGATTCCCCTTCTAAACACTAACTTCCACACTCTCCCCTCCTCCCATCCCATCAATCATCACCAGAACTTCAATAAAGATAAGTGTCATGTATTCTATTCTTAGTAGAGTAGTAACTGTGCATGTCTTCTTCAGTTTGTGTGTATTAAAATTAATATTTCATGTGGTAAAAAAAATTTCATTTTCATACTTTGGGGTGTCAGGAACGGATTAATTTGATTTCCATTATTTCTTATGGGGAAAATTAATTCGGCTAACGATAATTTCGGCTTACGATGAGCTCTCAGGAACGGATTAATATTGTAAAGCGGGGGTCCACTGTATAAAGAAATCCATTTTATTGTCATTCACAGATAATAATCAATGGTGTTAATGCTTATTGTGCATGAAATCCCAATGATGAGAATTTTTCAATTGTAATAACAGAGAATTTTTGAAACAAAGGACTTTGTTCAGACAAAATTTTGTCCATTAAATCCAAAATCTGTTAAATCAAGGTTTTAGTGTACAACAGATCATAAATTTAAGACAGGACACCACCAGCCTAGCTCTGCTCCTGTTGCTAGTACAGTAATAATAATAACCATAATTTCTAAAAGTACATAATACATCTATTATAGACCTAGATGACATCATTGACATACTATATAGAAAGCTCTTTGTTATGCAAGAAAGCCCTTTGTTATGCAGGTTAATTTTGTTCCCCAGGATGTGACCACACCAGTCGGCTAACAGCCAGGTACCTACTTACTTCTAGGTGAACAGGGACAGCAGGTGTAATGAAACATAACCAGTATTTCGCTCATGCCAGGGTCAATCTCTGGACCTCAGTGTGCAAGCTGAGGATGCTATCAACCGAACCACAAGCACCCAAAGGTAATCATATATGCAAATGGCTATGGTAAGATTATTATTATATTCATGGAGCTCTTAAATCTATTAAGAGCATTCAATTCCTGTTAATGTGGGAAGCAATTTGGTTTGATCTAAGGAAAAGTAAGTCAAGTCTAATTCTTGGGATCAAGAGCACCTTGTGAGCATCAAGGAACTTCCCTTGAAGTTCCCTTTAAGTTAGTGTCAGAGTTTGAGGGCTCACAGTAAAGTCATACTGATAAATTAATTACTTATTTATAACTTTGAGAAAAATGGTGCAAATTGGTTGTAGTGTTTGCAAAATGTTTATGTTTATATGTAAATATATTTTATACTGTTTTTTACGTTAATATTTCTTTACCGGTTTCTTAAGACACTTTATTGTATTTTGTAATACAATACTGAGTTTATTATGAACCTCTGAAGGTTCAATACCTACCACAAATTATTACTAACTCAAAGTGGTACTGCACATACCAATGCATAATCTCACCCTTTAAATTAACATCAAATGCAGATTAGACAAGATACAGGCCCAGGAGCTGGCACTCAACTTCATTCTGGATGTGGAATCTAACAATACTGAACCCTACAGTTGTGATTCTAGTTTTATTATACAAAATTAAAAATTTGGTGAACTAAATTCTTTATGCTAAAATTTTATACAGTGGTGTTACATTTTTCCAATGTTGTTGGTCCTTATGATTTTTTTTTTTGCAGTATTCGACCAAATGAATATTATTATAACCATAACTAAGTGCCAAACCCAGCCAAATGAACAGCATGTATATTTCTCTTAGATTCCCAAATTAAAGTATTACTTCCACTCAAAATTTTCAGTGCAGATTTCCACTTTCATACATAAGGGGGATTACCAATATACCCCTGGCTGTCTTCAAGAAGGCGCTGGACAGGCACCTAAAGTCAGTACCTGACCAGCTGGACTGCGGCTTGCACTTCGGTTTACGTGTGGCTAACAGCAACAGTCTGGTTCATCAGGCCCTGATCCACCACAAGGCCTGGTCACAGACTGGGCCGGGGAGGCGCTGACCCCCAAAACCCTCTCCAGGTATACTCCAGGCATCTTGCATATGGCCCAATGTGAACAATGGATGGCATTTTTTATTTAATTTACATAACCTAAGCAAGACAAAATGATACATATCCTTACCTAACATTAACTAAACAATACTTATCCTAACCAAACCTTAACTAAACAATACCTATCGTAACCTTAACTAAACAATACCTATCGTAACCTTAACTAAACAATACCTATTGAAACCTTAACTACACAATACCTATCCTAACCTAACCTTAACTAAACAATACCTATCCTAACCTAACCTTAACTACACAATACCTATCCTAACCTAACCTGACTTTTTTGGGTTATCCTAGGTTCTCTACACATATGCTGCTATGTATGATAATTCTATGTAACTGTATTTGTGTATACCTGAATAAACTTACTTACTTACTTACTTATAATACCTGTCCTAACCTAACCTTAACTACACAATACCTGTCCTAACCTAACCTTAACTACACAATACCTGTCCTAACCTAACCTTAACTACACAATACCTATCCTAACCTAACCTTAACTAAACAATACCTATCCTAACCTAACCTTTACTACACAATACCTGTCCTAACCTAACCTTAACTACACAATACCTATCCTAACCTTAACTAAACAATACCTATCCTAACCTAACCTTTACTACACAATACCTGTCCTAACCTAACCTTAACTACACAATACCTATCCTAACCTAACCTTAACTACACAATACCTATCCTAACCTAACCTTAACTAAACAATACCTATCCTAACTTAACCTTAACTACACAATACCTATCCTAACCTAACCTTAACTACAAATACCTACCCTAACCTAACCTTAACTAAACGATACCTATCCTAACCTAACCTTAACTACACAATACCTGTCCTAACCTAACCTTAACTAAACAATACCTATCCTAACCAAAAACTACACAATACCAAATCCTAACCTAACCTTAACTAAACAATACCTATCCTAACCTAACCTTAACTACACAATACCTATCCTAACCTAACCTTAACTAAACAATACCTATCCTAACCTAACCTTAACTACACAATACCTATCCTAACCTAACCTTAACTAAACAATACCTATCCTAACTTAACCTTAACTAAACAATACCTATCCTAACCTAACCTTAACTACACAATACCTGTCCTAACCTAACCTTAACTAAACAATACCTATCCTAACCTTAACTAAACAATACATATCCTAATCTAACCTTAACTACACAATACCTATCCTAACCTAAACTAAGCAATACCTATCCTAACTTAATATCTATCCTAACCTTACCTTATATAAACAATACCTATCTTATGACCTAATCATACCACATCTACCCTAACTTTTTTTTGGGTTATCCCAGGTAATTTACACTTGTTAAACTATGTGTAATAATTGTATTAAGTGTACCTCTACCTATATAAACTTACTAATCTACCGATTTTCGCTAATATTCCCGAAAATAAAAATTTGCAAACGAAATTCTCATCTCACAACTTGTATAAGTTGTGCATAGTGAAATGTGTAAAATAATGTCAATATCCAAATTTTTCAGTACAGATCCTCGAGGTTAAATCTTTCCTAGTAAGCAGATAATTTAAGCTAGATTATTATTCATGGGGAGCGCTAAATTCGTATGGATCGTACATCCTCTGGTAGTTTGGGTGGAATTCTGGTTCCATCCAAGGAAGAGCAGATCAAATGCACTGGATCAAGAGCCCTTTCACCGGAGTCAAGGAACCTCTTGAACGGATTAAATCTGGATATTTTAATATAAAATTAAATACAGTATTATTACATTCATGGGAAGAGCGCTAAAGTTGTAGGAGTCATACAGCATCTGAAGAGCCGGGAAGCTATCAGGTTTAATCTAATGTAAGGGCGGTGAAGTTACATTCCTTGGATCAAGAGCTCTTCTCTACCTCACTTTTGAATGCATTTTTCCGTCTTTAAGTTAATAAAATTTACGCATTGGAATCATACTAATTTATTTAGTGGCAAACCAAAATTATTATCTGATTAATCTTTGATCTGCGTAGTGTTTTTAAATGTCTATTTCTTATCAAGAGAGAAAATTAACAAGTTAAGTGCTTACTGCAGCGGCAGTAGTGTCATGGTTGTTCCATAGTGCGTGTAGTGGTGCACAATATTCTGGCGGTAACTGTAATGGTGGTAGTTGTAGTGGTGATACCAGGTGTAGCAAGTGGCCACGTTGACTGTATGTAGCTACTACACCCCCCCCCCCGTACACTATCACCCCCCTACACTGTCACCACTACTACCCCCTACACTGCCACCACTACTACCCCCTACACTGTCACCACTACTACCCCCACACTGTCACCACTACTACCCCCTACACTGCCACCACTACTACCCCCTACACTGCCACCACTACTACCCCCTACACTGTCACCACTACTACCCCCTACACTGCCACCACTACTACCCCCTACACTTCACCACTACTACCCCCTACACTGTCACCACTACTTCCCCTACACTGCCACCACTACTCCCCCTACACTGCCACCACTACTACCCCTACACTGCCACCACTACTTCCCCTACACTGCCACCACTACTACCCTACACTGCCACCACTACTTCCCCACACTGCCACCACTAACTACCCCTACACTGCCACCACTACTTCCCCTACACTGCCACCACTACTTCCCCCTACAACTGCCACCACTACTTCCCCCTACACTGCCACCACTACTACCCCTACACTGCCACCACTACTTCCCCTACACTGCCACCACTACTTCCCCTACACTGTCACCACTACTCCCCTACACTGCCACCACTACTTCCCCCTACACTGCCACCACTACTACCCCCTACACTGTCACCACTACTTCCCTACACTGCCACACTACTTCCCCTACACTGTCACCCACTACTTCCCCTACACTGCCACCACTACTTCCCCCTACACTGCCACCACTACTACCCCTACACTGCCACCACTACTTCCCCTACACTGTCACCACTACTTCCCCTACCACTGTCACCACTACTTCCCCCTACACTGCCACCACTACTATCCCCCTACACTGCCACCACTACTACCCCCTACACTGTCACCACTACTTCCCCTACACTGCCACCACTACTTCCCCTACACTGTCACCACTACTTCCCCTACACTGCCACCACTACTCCCCCTACACTGCCACACCCCACACTACTACCCCTACACTGCCACCACTACTCCCCTACACTGCCACCACAACTACCCCTACACTGCCACCACTACTTCCCCTACACTGCCACCACTACTTCCCCCTACACTGCCACCACTACTCCCTTCCCCCTACACTGCCACCACTACTACCCCTAAACTGCCACCACAACTTCCCCCTTCACTGCCACCACTACTCCCCCTACACTGCCACCACTACTACCCCTACACTGCCACCACTACTACCCCTACACTGCTACTACTACTACCCCTACACTGCCACTACTACTACCCCTACACTGCCACTACTACTACCCCTACACTGCCACCACTACTACCCCTAACACTGTCACCACTACTACCCCTACACTGCCACCACTACTACCCCTACACTGCTACTACTACTACCCCTACACTGCCACTACTACTACCCCTACACTGCCACCACTACTACCCCTACACTGTCACCACTACTACCCCCTACACTGCCACCACTACTACCCCCTACACTGCCATCACTACTACCCCCTACACTGTCCACCACTACTACCCCCTACACTGTCACCACTACTACCCCCTACACTGCCACCACTACTACCACCCTACACTGTTACCACTACTACCCCCTACACGTCACCACTACTACCCCCTACACTGCCACCACACTTCCCCCTACACTGCCACCACTACTTCCCCTACACGCCATCGCTACTTCCCCCTACACTGCCACCACTACTCTCCCCTACACTGCCACCACTACTTCCCCCTACACTGCCACCACTACTTCCCCTACACTGTCCACCACTACTTCCCCCTACACTGCCACCACTACTTCCCCCTACACTGCCACCACTACTACACCCTACAACTGCCACACTACTACCCCTACACTGCCACCACTACTACCCCTACACTGCCACCACTACTACCCCTACACTGCTAACTACTACTCCCCTACACTGCCACTACTACTACCCCTACACTGCCACTACTACTACCCCTACACTGCCACCACTACTACCCCCTACACTGTTACCACTACTACCCCCACACTGTCACCAACTACTACCCCCTACACTGCCACCACTACTTCCCCCTACACTGCCACCACTACTACTTCCCCTACACTGCCACCACTACTTCCCCTACACTGCCACCACTACTTCCCCTACACTGCCACCACTACTTCCCCCTACACTGCCACCACTACTTCCCCTACACTGCCACCACTACTTCCCCCTACACTGCCACCACTACTTCCCCCTACACTGCCACCACTACTACCCCCTACACTGCCACTACTACTACCCCTACACTGCCACCACTACTACCCCTACACTGCCACCACTACTACCCCTACACTGCTACTACTAGTACCCCTACACTGCCACTACTACTACCCCTACACTGCCACTACTACTACCCCACACAGCCACCACTACTACCCCCTACACTGTCCACCACTACTACCTCCTACACTGCCACCACTACTACCCCTACACTGCCATCACGCTCCCCCTACACGCCACCACTACTTCCCCCTACACTGCCACCACTACTTCCCCCTACACTGCCACCTCTACTTCCCCCTACACTGCCACACACTACTCCCCCAACACTGCCACCACTACTATCCCCCTACACTGCCACACTACTTCCCCCTACACTACCACCACTACTTCCCCCTACACTGCCACCACTACTACCCCCTACACTGCCACTACTACTACCCCTACACTGCCACCACTACTACCCCTACACTGCCACCACTACTTCCCCTACACTGCCACCACTACTACCCCTACACTGCCACTACTACTACCCCACACTGCCACCACTACTTCCCCCTACACTACCACCACTACACCCCCTACACTGCCAACACTACTCCCCTACACTCCAACCACTACTTCCCCCTACACTACCACCACTACTTCCCCCTACACTGCCACCATTACTACCCCCTACACTGCCACCACTACTTCCCCCTACACTGCCACCACTACTTCCCCCCTACACTGCCACCACTACTTACCCCTATACTACCACCACTATTTACCCCTACACTGCCACCACTACTTCCCCTACACTGCCACCACTACTTCCCCCTACACTGCCACCACTACTTCCCCCTAACACTGCCACCACTACTTCCCCCTACACTGCCACCACTACTTACCCCTATACTGCCACCACTACTTCCCCCTGCGATAAATGACATGCCCATGCACTCTGCCCCAGGGCCAGACTCATGGAACTCCGTGTTCATCAAGAACTGCAAGAAGCCCCTATCACGAGCCTTTTCCATCCTATGGAGAGGGAGCATGGACACGGGGGTCGTCCCACAGTTACTAAAAACAACAGACATAGCCCCACTCCACAAAGGGGGCAGTAAAGCAACAGCAAAGAACTACAGACCAATAGCACTAACATCCCATATCATAAAAATCTTTGAAAAGGGTCCTAAGAAGCAAGATCACCACCCATCTAGAAACCCATCAGTTACACAACCCAGGGCAACATGGGTTTAGAACAGGTCGCTCCTGTCTGTCTCAACTATTGGATCACTATGACAAGGTCCTAGATGCACTAGAAGACAAAAAGAATGCAGATGTAATATATACAGACTTTGCAAAAGCCTTCGACAAGTGTGACCATGGCGTAATAGCGCACAAAATGCGTGCTAAAGGAATAACAGGAAAAGTTGGTAGATGGATCTATAATTTCCTCGCTAACAGAACACAGAGAGTAGTCGTCAACAGAGTAAAGTCCGAGGCAGCTACGGTGAAAAGCTCTGTTCCACAAGGCACAGTACTCGCTCCCATCTTGTTCCTCATCCTCATATCTGACATAGACAAGGATGTCAGCCACAGCACCGTGTCTTCCTTTGCAGATGACACCCGAATCTGCATGACAGTGTCTTCCATTGCAGACACTGCAAGGCTCCAGGCGGACATCAACCAAATCTTTCAGTGGGCTGCAGAAAACAATGTGAAGTTCAACGATGAGAAATTTCAATTACTCAGATATCGTAAACACGAGGAAATTAAATCTTCATCAGAGTACAAAACAAATTCTGGCCACAAAATAGAGCGAAACACCAACGTCAAAGACCTGGGAGTGATCATGTCGGAGGATCTCACCTTCAAGGACCATACCATTGTATCAATCGCATCTGCTAGAAAAATGACAGGATGGATAATGAGAACCTTCAAAACGAGGGATGCCAAGCCCATGATGACACTCTTCAGGTCACTTGTTCTATCTAGACTGGAATATTGCTGACCTAGAAAATGTACAGAGAACCTTCACGGCGCGCATAACGGAGATAAAACACCTCAATTACTGGGAGCGCTTGAGGTTCCTAAAACTTTATTCCCTGGAATGCAGGCGGGAGAGATTATATACACCTGGAAAATCCTAGAGGGACTAGTACCGAACTTGCACACGAAAATCACTCACTACGAAAGCAAAAGACTTGGCAGACGATGCAACATCCCCCCAATGAAAAGCAGGGGTGTCACTAGCACGTTAAGAGACCATACAATAAGTTTCAGGGGCCCGAGACTGTTCAACTGCCTCCCAGCATACATAAGGGGGATTACCAACAGACCCCTGGCAGTCTTCAAGCTGGCACTGGACAAGCACCTAAAGTCGGTTACTGACCAGCCGGGCTGTGGCTCGTACGTTGGTTTGCGTGCAGCCAGCAGCAACAGCCTGGTTGATCAGGCTCTGATCCACCAGGAGGCCTGGTCACAGACCGGCCGCGGGGCGTTGACCCCCGAAACTCTCTCCAGGTAAACTCCAGGGACACTGCCACCACTGCTTCCCCCTACACTACCACCACTACTTACCCCTATACTGCCACCACTACTTCCCCCTACACTACCACCACTACTTCCCCTATACTGAAACCACTACTTCCCCCTACACTGCCACCACCACTACTCTCTACACTGCCACCACTACTACCCCTACACTGCCACCACTACTACCCCTACACTGAAATCACTACTACCCCCTACACTGCCACCACTAC